TGACCACCGAGCTGCCCCATCTCCCTGCAATGGTGAAGGGGGGATCTGCCCTGCCTGGGGAGGGGGCGCAGGGGGGCGAGGGGCTCCGCCTCTCACTGTCACCTTCCCTCCTTGCAGAGCTCCTACCCCATCTGGGAGGATTTCAACTCGAAGGCCACCAAGCTGCACTCCCAGCTCAGGTGAGTGGCCGGGGGGGGGGGGATGGGCGGGGGGGGGGGAGCGCATCATAGGATCCCCCCTTCCCCACGGGCACATCCCGGGGTGCCCAGCGCCCGCTGAGCTCCCCCCTCGCTCTCTCCGCCCCAGGACCACGGTGCTGGCCGCAGTCGCCTTCCTGGATGCCTTCCAGAAAGTGGCCGACATGGCCACCAACACCCGAGGTAGGGTCCTCCCCGCCCCAGGGCTGGGCATCCCCGGGCTTGGCCGGGCAGGGGGACGGCTGGCGAGTGTCCCCTGTGGGGTGTCCCCTGCCCACGTGGCTGGGGTGGGCTTCAAGTCCGCCCCAGGACCACGGTGCTGGCCGCAGTCGCCTTCCTGGATGCCTTCCAGAAAGTGGCCGACATGGCCACCAACACCCGAGGTAGGGTCCTCCCCGCCCCAGGGCTGGGCATCCCCGGGCTTGGCCGGGCAGGGGGACGGCTGGCGAGTGTCCCCTGTGGGGTGTCCCCTGCCCACGTGGCTGGGGTGGGCTTCAAGCAGAAGCTCCACCATCCTTGGAGACGTGTCCAACCTGTCCCCACCCCGAGGTGGAGCATCCCCTGGGAAGCAGGCTTGGAAAGGTGGGGTGCAGCTGAGGCTGGGGAGCGGGTGGGCTGGGCACCCATGTGGGTGCTGCCTCTCACCACCGATGGGTGCTTAGCCAGCATCTTCTGGTGGGGCTAGTTTGGTTGCAGGGAGATTTGGGGCAACACAGCCCCACGCCGTGGTCCCCTGCACCCGTCTCTGCCCGCTGGGATGCACCCAGCTGTGGGGCTGAGCCGCCCTCCCGGTGCCCCTTGTCCCCTGTGCCCCCCTGGGAGGTGCCCAGGGGGATCCTGGCTGCGCCAGGGGGCTCCGGGGAGGGGGAATTAGGTGGAGGGAGATGCAGGAGCCCACGCTCGACTGCTTCAGGGACGCACCCCGACCCGCCGGGGAGGCGACATGAAGAGCTGAGGCTGCAGGTGGGGCCCCCCCCTGCTTCTATGGGGTGAGGGGGCCAGACCCCCGGACCCTCTCTGGGTGCTCGCTGGCGGCGAGGAGCCGCTTCCCACCGCTCGGCTTCTGCCAAGCAGATGGTCCCGGGCTGGTTTGCAGACTGGCGGCATCCAGGCCATCTGGAGCTGCGTGGGGAAGAGGAGGAGGAGGAGGAGGAGGAGGCAGCAGCAGCTTGAGCCGAGATCAGCTTTGCCTCCAAACCCACTAGCCCACTGCACCAGGGGGGGATTAGGGCTCCCCCAGCTCCCCTCCAGCCTGGGCACCGAAAGCGAGGGAGGGGACACGGGGTGGATGCTGGGGACAGCTGGTGACCGGCACCACGGGAGACAGCATCACGGGGGGCCACCCTGTAGTGCTGCGCCAGACGGTGGCATCTCGGGGACACCACTGGACGTCCCTGCTTTTTTCGGCGGCCTCGCACGCGGCTCGTGAGCGCGCAGGGGGAATCGGATTAGGAGCAGCAGGAGCCAGGATAAGAGCATTAGGAGCGGCATTAGGAGAATACCCCCACGCAGGAGAAGGCCCTCGGCCCACGGGCTCCCCCGTTTCCGCAGCGCTGTGGGGCTGAGGAGTGCCCAAAACTCCTGCAAAGGGTGGGAGGTGTCTCTGGAGGCTTTTTTGGGGAGAAAAAGGCAGAATATCACTCCCTAGCTTGCACCCAAGGATTTTAGATTGCTGCTTTCCCTGGGATTTGCCAGCAGCACTGCCACCATGTGGCCATCCTTAGGCTTCAGAGTTAACAGCGGTTTCACCAAAAAGGGACGCTTCTGCTTTCCGTTGCTGGCCAGTATCCCCCCAGGGAGCTCTGCCTCCCTTTTTACATGCTCGGGATCATGCCTGGAGGTGAGGGACACAGCCGGCTGCCCGGCACGGAGCCAGGGAGGGAAGCCGGTCCCAGAGCCGTGTGCTCCCGGCCGGCCGGTTTCTCGGTCCGTGCCTGGCCGGCTGCGTGGTACCTCACCCCTCCCATTCCCTGGCCCCTGCCCCCGGCACTGGATTTGAGACAAACCGGGAAAAACTGGGAGGAGGTTTTCATTTTGAAGCCGCAGGAAGGGATATTTAGTGCTTTATTTATTAGTTAGTGGATGTTGATTTATTTATTTAGTGGGTTTATCAGGGGAAAAAGCGAGCCACCTCCGACCCAAAGTGTCCCCACAGCCCAGGGCATCTCAGCACTGGTCATCCCCGCCGCAAGCCAGCCTGGTCCCAGTATACAAACTGGGCTGGGACTGGTGTGGGGGTGTCCCCTGCCCCTCGTCAGCAGCGTTTCGCTCCCCTCCAGGTGCCACGAGGGACATCGGCTCCGCGCTGACCCGCATGTGCATGCGGCACCGCAGCATCGAGGCCAAGCTCCGGCAGTTCACCAAGTAAGCGGGCCCCGGGCATCGGTGACACGAGTTGGCCGGGCTCAGCCCTTCCTCTCTGAAGGAGGAGATGCTGGATGTCGGCTGGGCCTGGGGTAGTGGGCACGGCTCCCTCCCCCCCCCCTCCCCGGGCTCCGGCGCTCTCCCACGCTCTCTGCTTCTCTCTCCCTTGCTCCAGCGCCCTCATGGAGAGCCTGATAAACCCTTTGCAGGACAGGATTGAGGACTGGAAGAAAACTGCCAACCAGCTGGACAAGG